CATTTGATTAGTAATTATATTCTAAAGTAATTAGTGGACTTTCTAAGAAAACTATAACTGACACCGGGTATGCAGGAAATCATTTATAATTTGATTTATGAATTTTTATCAACAGACTTTTTTAAGGCATTCGTTCTAGTTAATTTCACTATAGACTCTAGTGAAACACGTGAAAATTTCAATAAATTGCTACAAAATTAGAGAATCGAATACCAGTATTTACTCTTTGAGCCAATTACATGTGATTTCTGCTGCTTGCAACCGAGAATATTATTGTAGGAAGATTCGCGGTCCAATAATTAGTAACAGAAAATGTATAACATCTCCATCGAGGATCGCAGAAAGCCTCGAATGCCATAAACGCCACAAAGATCCGCGTCCCAGAACTTGCCATCCAGCAATTACCAGGGCCTAATTACGATTTAGCTGGAGGATCGCGCGCCATTCTTCGCCGCGTTAATTCCGGAAGCGGTGCTTGCGTCTCCGACCCTTTTCTCCGATAGATTAACCCCTTGAGGTCCAAACACCCAATTAAGAAGCGATCGCAGTAAAAAATCCGCGGCCCGTCAAAGACAGCCAGTGCTTCCACGCGAGCGAGCCGATCGGGTTCCGATCGGCCGGTCTCTCAATTAGCATCCCCCTAACGAGTGGTCGTAGGTGTCGCGGGGGGTCCCCTGGCCCCCGCCGGGCCACAAAAGGCGGTCGGTATCGATGCCCGGAAAACGAGTCCGGGTAAACAGACCGCGGATAAACGCCGTGGAGACCGGCGGAGGAATATTCCAGTCATGCGTCACGGGGTTAAGGAGAGGGCGTGCTGGCCGCATTGATTTACGTAGAGAGGAGGACAGGACGTCGGGAGGAAGACCGTTTGCGGGGGGGTTCGCGGCGCGGCGCGGGAAGGGGAGGGTTAGCGGGGAACGAGAGGAACAGGTGGAGAGAAAAGGGAGTCCGTAGAATCCGAAGCCACGTAATCGGAATAGTCGATTCCATCCCCCTTTTCCTCCGGAGGCACGCCGCCCTCTTTCGACCCTGCCGGTCCTCCCTTCGCTGTGAACCTCTCTCTCTCTTTCTCTCTCTCTTTATGTCTCTCTCCTTCTCTCTCTCTTTCTCTATCTCTATCGCTCTCTTCCTCTCTCGCAGTCTCTCTCTCTCTCTCCCTCTCTCTCTTTGTTCGTCTCTTTCTCTCTCCACCTTTCCGACACCCCCTTGGTCGCGTGGATACGTGGTCGAACCACCGCGAGGATACCGTATAATTATCGGATGCCAGGTACCTCGAACGCTCTCGGCCGGTTTTAATTGGCCAATTATCGTGGCGCCAATAGAGGTGGTGCCGTCGGTCCAGATAGGCGTGAAACTTTTGGGGTGGCCGGCGTACAACGAGCGACAACACAGCGCGCGACTTTTCTCTCTGACGAGTATCTTTTGGCATCGCTGGGCCCTACTAGGGGCTCGTGCTGGGAAGATCGACGCTGTTACGCGCCCGCGCGCGACCGCCCGACTGTGTATCAACCCCCCGTTTGCCTGTCTGTGTAGAGACGACGAGAGAGAAAGAGAGACAGAGAGGGAGAGAGGGAGAGGGAAGGAGAGGGACGTGTGCACGTGTGCGGGGAACGGACGCGGAGCGAACGGGATCGGGATCAGAATCGGGAGCACGAACGGGCGCAAATTGGTCACGGCTGGTCTGTTCGATCTCCGTTCCAAACTACACCCCCCTACCCTCTTCGGCCACCTTCTATCGTCCTCTCTCCGTCCTTCCCCCGCGCCTCTCTATCATCTCTTATTCTATATTTACGTCTTTCTCTGTCGCCTCGGCCGCCAGGGTAGCGCGCCGTCCTCCTCCGGGCTAGGTCCTACCTACACCCCCACCCCCCGTGTCTATCGATCTATCTTGCTCTAGTACCCGGCGCCACCCTCTCTCGCTCCACTTTAGCCGGTCTAGCCATCTATCTAACCAGCTAGCTTGCTCCTCGACTCGTGCACCGTTTCAGAACTATTAGGAACGCTCGCCTAAACCCACATCACTTTGCCAGGTAGGGTAATCCGGCGGCGTGCTCACCTGCAACCCCTTACGCCTCGGTTCCTCGATACTTAACGGCCGATTCGCTTTTTTCCCCGGCTATTTAGCGGGCTGGACGATGCCCGAGGATTATTAGCCGTGCTACTTCCCGCTGAGTGCCGGATTTCGGAAGGTCTCGTGGACCTCGGGCGACAATTTTTTGATGTCGGCTTTATACCTCGCGAGAATTTGTCTCTGTAAATCGGAATGATTTGACCGCAGATCTTTGCGACTTGCAGAAAATCGCGAAATACGAGAGTGTTTCGGTTCGACTTTGCAGCAGAAGGAATTACTCTCATGCTTCAACTCTTATTACACTTGTAGTGGCAGAGAGTCCATATATTGGCTCGAGTTATTACAATAAGTTTGGGGAAAAAATGCCTCGCGTACAAATATAATAATTTTTAGAATAAAACTACCGACTTGCATAAGGAAATTTACCGACCCTCTGCATGTTAAACGAAGCCGTAAAAACAGGATGTCTCGGTCCGAGTTGTTCTCGAGCCAAAAACGAGGACAGAATTTTTCCGGAAAAAGTGCACTCGCGGTTTGCCGTCCTCGACTTCGTCGATGTCCCACAGGACAATCTGCGGCGCACCTGCTCAGCCCTCGGTTGGTCACATAAGAAGGCTTTTGTCGCTTGTAGACATAGTTAAAACGAGCATCAACGGGCGGCACGCGATAGGGTGCGAGCGAGCGAGAGCGGGGCGGACGCGCACGGCCACATTGTCGGTGTAAATTTTTAATTAAGCTTTGGTGGCTGGCTGCAAATTGAGCTGCAGCCGGCGCGCCGGCATTCAATGCAGTAAATGCACCGTGCACGCCGTACGTGTCATTTACGAATTAAATTAATTTGTTAGTTCTTATGCGGTGGCGGACCGACCGGCCCGGCACAGCGAAATAAATTTACGATAATGCTCATTAGCCGGCCGCGGTCCGCACACGCGGAAATTAGTCGCGGACACACACCGGCCAACCGGGAAATCATGGCTGCGAGAGAGGAGAGGGAGAGGGACGCGATTACTCCCGCCGACGCGACGCGTTGCTCCGCTCCTGGAACATCTGTACACGAAAGTAAAACGCGTCCGATCGACCGGCCATAAATATTTGATCTGCTTCATTATGTTATCAATGCGCCCGCTGCGCTAAAATTCCTGAGCTAAAGTTCCTTCGCCTGCACGGTCACAGGTCGTCAGCGCCGAGCTCGCAGGAATTCTAAATTCACGGGACTCGGAATCGGGAATAAAAGACTCGGCGAATTCGGCTCAAGCGGTGATATTTCCAGCGGAATCGCCGTCCCGCGAGTTATCGGCGGAACAACCGTCGGGCGGTCGTCTTTCGATTACGAGACCTGTCGCCGGTACAGCGTTCTCTCGCGACGCTCCCCAGGTGTTACGCAATCCTAAGATCCTCCCTTGTCCTTCTTCCGGTTAATTGGAATGTCCGGCGGGAGCGTTTGCGTAACTTTTGCCGCGCGCGGATCGACCGGCGCCGAGCGGAACGGAGCGGCGCGGCGCGGCGGCTGGCTATTAATACGGCGGGACGCGATCGTCACAGTTGATCGGCCATTGAACGATCGGACGACAGGTCGGTCGGGCCGCAGAATGGGCGGAGAACCGGCGTGTATCTCTTCAATTTCGTGGAAAGAATCGATCATCGGGGGCCAGAATAGCGGCGTCAATCTCGCCGAGCGATTGGCCCTGAGCTAACTCGATGATGATCGGAGGGTAGTTCTGGACGAGAACAAGCGGAACGCGCGCTGCGATAGAGAGAACGAGGCGGACTATGCCAACGGAAACGAGAGAAAAAATGAAAACCAGAGAGAGAGAAAGAGAGGGTGGAGGGAGAGTCGATGGAAAAACAGGATGAGGGAGAGAGAGAGAGAGAAAGAGATAGAGAGATATAGAGAGAAAGAGAGAGAGAGAGAGAGAGAGAGAGAGAGACTGCCGGTTGTTGGAAGAGACAAAGAGGACTGGGGGTGGAGAGGGAGGGCTCGGTATTGCAGGCTCATCCGCCGGTTACGTTCGATTGGCTGGCAGGGCGGTAGGCCAGCAATTACCTAAATGGTCGGGTAAACAATATCCGTGCGCCGAGTTAAGAGCGGCGGCGGTAGCAGCGGCAGCAACAGCACCACCAGCGCACTACCAGCGCACTAGCAGCACACTAGCAGCACACTAGTAGCACACCGGTAGCTGCAACAGTGGCAATGGTGGCGGCTACTGACTGGCTCTGGTATCCGTCGGTCGGTCGGTCGGTCGGCCAATCGGTGGTAGTTGGTCCAGGTTAGCTAGGCAGCAGCCAAAGAGACCGGCGGAGGATCGAGACGAAGGGGTGCGAGAACGGGACGAGATTTCAGGAGAGAACGGAGACGCAGCTCCGATACCTAGATAGCTACCTAGCTAACCTATCCACCTACCTAGCGTAGCCGGCGCGATTATACTTCGGGCACGATTACCGTACACAACGATCCTAGGATGCGGGGATGCGCCGCCCCTCGTTCCCCCGTGCCGGCCGACGATGCCTTTCACACACCAAGATCATCGACAAACCCGGCGGCGTTTCGCGATCACGGATACCGGAGGTAGAGCGAGTTGAGCGTGCGACTCTTCCATACATCCTCTCGGCTATACCGTTGAACGATGGCAACGTGCGTGGAGGGAAAACCGTTCCTCCATCGACGGCGGCGGCGGCGGCGGCAACGGCGGCGGCTGCGTCGGCTGCGTCGGTGGCGGCGGTGGTGGTTAAATCAAAGACAAACCACTTTAACCGGCCGGGGGAGGGGTGGCGAGTGGAAGGCAGGCGGGGGTGGACCGCGCGGAGTCGAGCAGAGGGAGGAAAAGGTAGACTCTGTGTGTACATACCCGAGTATCTGGCGAAAGCTCGCTCGTGGGGCCGCGAAACGTCTGCACGCGGCTCCGTTTCGTGTTCGTGCCCGTCCATTCAGCCCGCTCCCTCTGTCTGGGTGCATCTTCGTGATCGTGTACGTCCGCGCGCGCCACGGACAAGAGGGTAGCACGTGTGTGCGCGCAACCCCCGGCGAGGATCGCGTGGCCACGCCCACAGCGCCGCGGCCGGAGGTTCCTGGTAAGCGGGTCGTGCCGGGCCACGCCTCGAGTGGGCGTTCCCCCCGCTCCCACCTAGCCGGTCGGCCACCACCGTTTTCCACTGTGACTACGGTCGTACGTCGGCTCCTCGGTACTAATAATACGCCGATATACCACCTATTCAGCCACCATGGCTCTACGTGGAGGTCCCGAGAGCAGGTTTTACGGGACGCGCGCCGCCGCGTCTGTCTACCAAAGACACTGCTAATCGCGCGACCACGCTGATCTCTCTTGACCCGGTGAACGGCTCTGTTTGTTGTCCCAGTGTGTCCGACCGGTTCAGTGAACGGAACCCGGCATTGTAGCGACTTTCGTGAACGCCAGTCGACTGCTCGCCGCTGCGTCGTCCGTCGGTGCCTCGTAGGACGACTCGGTTGTGCCCCACAGGATTCCGACAAGCAGTGCGATGATCGACCATAGAGTGCCGAAGTGTCCGTGATGTAGCCGAGAATGGAACCTTTCTGACCGGGGATCGTGGACATCGGTGCGACGGGGAGGGGTGGGACAGTGCGTTTCGGTTATCGGGAATGAAGCTTCGCGGTGTCAGGTAAAGACAGAGCCCGGGGCTGTTATGTGGAGGATGCAGGAAGGCAGGACCGTGTCGCCCTTAGGGCCGGTCGTTTTACCGCGGGAGGAACCGGAGATGCGAGCGGGGCTGCCGCTGCCGCCTCAAGAAAGGAGGCACGTGTTGCTCCACGTACGCACGGGCGAGCCTTTTGTGCGGTACGACAGCGTGCGCCAGCAGCAGCAGCAGCAGCAACAACAACAACAACAACAACAACAGCAGCAGCAGCAGCATTCACCCCCGACCTCTCCGATCCTGCGTGCCATCGACAAGGACCAGTTCCACGAGATGGACTCGCAGACCGGGCTGCGGGAGAAGCAGGTCGACGCGGAGATCGAGGAGGAGGAGGAGCAGGACGAGGAGGAAGAGGACGACGCCGAGAGGAATGTCACGCCGAGAAGAAACGTCGAGGACGAGGAGGACGAGGAGGAGCAGGAGGAGGAGGAGGAAGAAGTGCATCCGGGCAGTCGGAACGGGAATTACCAGGAGGACGAGGACGTCGAGGTCGACGTCTGCCGCGACGAGGTCGACGAGAGCAACCCCAGCAGTCCCGTGGACCTCACCGCGCCCTCCTCGAGGGGCACGGGGTCCGAGCAGTTCCTGAACCCCTTCGCGAGCCGCGGCGTGCACCCTTTCTCCTGTGTTCAGAGCGGTGGCCAGCCGACTGGCCACGGGACTCCCGTGTATATATCCGCACACGCCGCAGCCGCGGCCGCAGCCGCCTCCACCGTGATGACCGTGTGCACTTCCGGTAACGCGGCACGAACCACCGGAACCGCGACCAGCAGCATCACCACCACCGCCAGCACCGTGCAAGCCAAGAAGAGGTGTCTCGCCTTCTCCGTCGAGAATATCCTCGACCCGAACAAGTTCACCGGCGGACGGGTCGTGCACAGTACCGTCCAGCATCGCCGGCATCGGCGGGCCGATAGCGTCCACGAAGGTGACTCCGACTGTCCTAATCGTTTCCCGATCACAGCTTCCGACGATCAACCCTTTGACTGCCGAGCGATCGAGCTCGTAACGCGACAATCGAGCAGTGAATACGGACGTGCGCCAAGATGCATGGCACGCGAGACGAGATCAGGGGAGGATAGCCGCTATCGGATACCTCGGGTCTTAGCTATCTGTCTCTGAGAAGAGTAATATCTACGGCTTTATCAGTGAAATTGATTGACCTTGTGCTGTGAATCAAAGGCTATTTTCCCCTTACGTTAGAATCCGAGCTCCTCGAATTGTCTACGCAGTCAAGGGGTTCGTTTCGCTGAACAATGAGACGAATTTTCTGGCCAGCGAGTTGTCTCTGCAGCTCCTGACGACGGTGCAATTCGACTAACTTGTCCGCGGCTCGCGCCTTATTTGTCTCGCAACACGTAAAAGTCGGCTACCGCAAACCACCATAACTGTCCACTTTCGCGAGCAGAATTGGTAGTTCACGTGGACCCCTTTCACTTGAATGCCGATTGAGCGTATCCGAGTCCCGTGCCCATGGGACCTGCGTCTGCAAAGCCTGCCGAGCAGGTGCAGACATGCTGAACGTGGTCAGACGAGCTTCCAGTTTCGTGTGCTAGGTGTTAACTCGATCGAGCCTCTCTAAATTTTAGCCGTGTAAATTTTTAGAAGACGTTCGCGTTGAGATATGAATTAATTGTCACGGATCGTCTGGAGATCCACAGAAACTTGTTACGTCATTCCACAAGTCGTGCCGTATCGCCGCAATCGAAACGTGTTTGTATCCTGTTTGCGTTAGATTTTTGTAGAAACTTCTTCCAATACATTTGAAGATGCTATACTGTCGATTCGTTGCATTTAGAGCCACATTGTACATTCAAAAAGAGCAATATACAGTTTCGAATGCAAAGGAGTGTCAAAGATCATTCGAAGAGTCTACGAATTCAGAAACCAATGGCCGTGTCGTGTCTCCATGAATCAAAAACCCTAATGAATTTCTTTATCCAAAGCCAAGAGTATTCTTTATTCGAGCCGCGAAATCAAGAATTTCATTCATCGACGATTAAAGGTGCATGCGAATAGCATTAATTTTAGTCTTAAAGTCGACGAGGGGGAACTTGTCGGAAATCGACGCGACTTATGCGAGAAAGCTTAGGTTTCCCGGTTTAATTGGTCAGATACATTGTGCACGACGGAAACAGCAACCCTCGGACTGCATTCTCACGCGGGTCTCATGCATGTCGTGTTGCGCCTCAGATCCGATGAGTCACGATTACGGATCGCAGCGGCAAACGTTCTTAGAACAAAGTTTCACGAACCATCCGTTAACAACCTCTTTTAATAGTCCGCCGGTATTCAAGATAGTGTGACGTACACGGAGAAGGCTCTCCTTGTCTGCCAATTTCGCGAGACGCCAGCAGAAGCAGCGTAATCGAGTAATCGTCGTTGATCTCGCCGCAACGGCCGATTAATCTCCTAGAATACGCGGTTCGGAAACTGTTCTGTCTCTCGCTCGCTCTCTCTATCTATCTATCTCTCCGTTTCTCTCTCTCTCTCTCTCTCTCTCTCTCTCTCTCTCTCTCTCTCTCTCTCTATCTCTGGCTCTGGTCCGCTAAATCCTCTAATCCTCGAGCTTGTTCTTGCCAAAACCCGTGGCACGCATCTTTATTGCTTCCTGCTTGCTTCGCGAAGTCTTCCGACGTCGTAACCGGCCGCCAAAACACGGTCCCTGTCTTTTTCTTCGGACGAGATCGGGCCGCCATATGGGCCTCAACCGAGGTCCCGTGATCTTGAACGATATTTTTTCGCGTCCCGTCGATCCTCCTTCTCGTCCGCCACCCCGATCCCCTCTCGCTTCTTCTTCCTCGTTCTAAGTTTAGACGGGTCGGAAGGATCGCCTCCCGTTCCATGATCTACCCGCGATTTCGGAGTTATTTGCGTTTGTTAGGGGATTCCTACAAAAGCGATGATGTAGACGGCGTTACAGAGAACACGGGGACGAGAGGGTCCGCTTTTGCAAGCTCGAGGGCCACTCGCAACGGCCTCTGATCTGCTTAAACGTTGCGCCGGTACACGGCGCACTCTCTCTCTCTCTCTCTCTCTCTCTCTCTCTCTCTCACTCACTCACTCACTCTCTTAGCCTCTCTCTTACTCTCTCTCTCTCTTTTTCTTTCCCTGGTAGAACGTTTTAATTAGCGACCCCGCGTCGCGCCGCGTCTTTCTCCATCAAAAGAAACGAGAACCTGACGTCCCGGCTTCCGTTCCGTTCCGCGAACGACTGTCCGCTCGCTCGTCGACATCTTGGTCACGCAGCTACAACAGAAAAATTAGGATCAACTTTGTCAGCGGCTTAGCTGGCGAGGTAATTGCGCTTTGTGGTTTGCTTCCAATTATTTAGGGCCAACGATTCAGGATACATTCCTTGTATACGCATGTTTTTGTTAATTGTCAGCTGTAAAAGCTGACGACGGAATCTCTATTATTCGAACCACGTTCAAACGTTTGAGCGTTCTTTCGGTTGTAGAGGAGTGTAGAGAAGTCATTAACAGATAATTACATTCGCAAAACAGCGACACTTTTTATTAGATCATGGATTATTCAACGAATGCAGAACTGTGTAAATTATTTTACGATAATCATAAGTAGAGTGAACATTTCCATAGTTCAGCAGAATATCCTTCACGATCCGACTGATGCGAAAACATTTCCAAACGCAATTAACACGCGTGTTCTTTTGTACTTTGCCAACTCGCGTGCGCCGCGAATGCATACAAATCTGCAGTCTATTCACAGTACTTTTATCTGCACTTTTCTGGAATCCACCGCATCAGAGAGCAACTATTTTCATGTACCGTTCGCTCTTACCTCTGACACAAGTGCCGGCGAAAATTTCCCGAGCTTCGAAGCTCGTTCGCTTCGTGTACCAAAAATATGAATCCTCTAAAATCCGCTCGGTCTGAACACGGATCAAAAGATCGTTCACCATCGGCGCTTGCCTCGGTGATACGCAGATTCCGAGGACACCGCACACCCGGAAGAAAACGATTCCAGCTCCGACCGGTGTCGCTCGAACGTCGAAATTCCGGTCGCGAAATCCGTAGCCGGCCATCTGCCGCGGAAAGCTTATCTGCGCGCGATGATCGAATCCCGGGCCGGGTGCTCGGGATCCCAATTTCACAGTTGACTTTCGAATTTAATGGAGTCTGGCGGCCAGATAAGAGAGCGGGAATATCCCGGTCGCCGATAAGGTCCTCGCTCGGAGAGGGCCCCTAAGAAGAAGTCGCAGGAAGGAGAGGCGGACGAAGAGGAAGACGACGAGGAAGAAGCATCGAGCGAAGGGTTGTGAAGCGACGTAGAAACAGAACGAAGGAGCCACTGTCGGGCCAGCGGCGCGGTGGGGTGGGTCGGTTCGCCGGCGGGGGCGGTCGTGAGGGTGGTTTGTCGGAGCGTGACAAATTGCTCCGCTAATCTGCGTTAACCAGTCCTTGAACCCCATCATTGTCGTCCCTTTATCCCGGTACGGGACGCTGGCTGCCGCGGACCAAATCAACCGACGACTGTCGCTCTTCTGGCCGAAAAAATAGAGGAGGAAGCGGCGTTATCTCTTCGAGGTTCGCGGAGCTGGACGATCAGAGAGAGAGAGTCCTGGCCAGACGGTGGAGAGGACCGGCGACAGTGGTCGAGGGATCGATCGCCGATGAAATCGGGATTACACGACTCCACGGTCATCCATCTTCCATCTCCCCATTAAAAGTGCATCAGAGCCGGGAAGCCCGACCGGCGAAATCCGTTTCGACTGCTGGCAGCGACGAGTCCTCCGTCGCTCCCCCCTTCCGACTCCCCCTGCCCCTCCGCCCCTCTCGAACGGCAAATCCGCCGACGGAATAATATCGTCGGTTGTTATGATAATCGCGCAGCATCGCGCGCGGCGTATCGCGTCGCATCGCGCCAAGCCGCCCAGAAAATTGGCTCTTCTGCATCATAATGACTTCTCTCTCTCCCTCGCCGTCGCGCCTCGCTCTCCCCCTCGCACGGCCCCCTCCACGATATCCTGCTTTCTCGCTCGACCGCGCCGGAACCCACCCCCGCGAAACTCCGTTCCCCGAGAAACTCAACCCCCGGCCGCGTCGGTCCCGCGATTCGAAAGCTCCCCGGATTTTCCGCTAGATTTCTGGAAAAATTGTAATTACCACGGGACCGAGCGCGCGACGAGATACCGTTAAACGCCGGATCCTTTCCCGAGACCCGCGTTTTTCTTATCGAAACGGCCGATGGTATCGCCGGACGCTCGTTAGGGGAAACGGCGCTGCTGTTGCACGCTCCCGGGCCATTGTTCCCCGCTCGCGGAAATAATATGATAATTGCCCGGTGTCTCGCGGATCCCGCGCCGCATGATAAGGATTCGACGGCCTCTGTTCTTCCTCGATGTGGCAATTGCCGGCGATACAATGGGTAACGTTGCGTTTGCTAGGGAGAATTTCCGGAGATTAAATAACCTTAGGCCCGATCCGTCGTCTATTAATCTCGCCAGCTCGAAGATGCTGCTGCCGTTTACTTGAAACAAAATTGCAAGAATTTCGTCGAACAGTCTCAGTCCTCTTCGCTTAACGCTAGAAGTAACGAACACTGAATCGCGATTGATAACCGAGACACGCTTCGACTCGTCCGGAAGTTCTGTTACTCGAGAGAGCCACCCAAAGTACGTTAATCCCGCGTAACGCGTCGCATTTTGCAGGCTCCTAAAGATTCGCACACGTTATTAAGTACGCGAAGCTATCTCGAAGATAGCCGGCACTTTGCCCGGCCAAGTTTTCGGGGAAGCAGCTTCCGTCCCCGTTGAATCAATCACGACGGCATCGTTCGCGAGCGGGCCTCTTTATCTTTCTCGGTTACGTTGCACCGGATCCGCGTCGATCTCACGACACTCGATCATTCGTCCCTCTATTAACGTTCCTCGGCTTCGATCCAAGTCGCCTGGCACGCTCCGTCGACGTCTGTTTGCCGACCGATTCCCAGATCGCCGTCGAACGTTGTCATTGCGCTTAATGAGCAAAACCGAAATAAATAAGTGTCCCCGGCGATCCTGAGTCCCCTGGTGCACCCTTAGCAGGCTCCCAGGGGAGGTTTCCGTCGGACCCTCGGTCGGCTGGTTCGCGCAGAAGCCCGTCGGATCCCGTGGTTAATGAAGAAGATCTAAGCGAGATAAATGCTGGACGCCCGATGGCATAAAACCTCGACAAACGCGATAAGAGCTGGCTCGTTACGAACGCGTCTCGAGTTAATTGCGCGAGACGCCTCTGCCGACCATGTGTCCCGGCCTCTGCCCGGCCATTGGATCCTGTCACGAGTTGGTTAGGTTTATTCATCGGTTTGACGAAAATCTAGATGGGCGGTTTGGCCTATTCTCTAAACCCGGCGCAATTTATAGTGGAAGATGATTCATTTCCTTGGTACACAAAGTGTAGGATTTTGGGTGGCCGAGCCGGTTACCGTTTGCTGACTGATGCCTGTGCCGTTCATTTGTTTTCGGGCATAATTCACTTTATATTTATCGAACAAGACGTGTTACTAAGAAACGAAATAAAAGAATTCCAAACGCGCGGCTATTGGTCATCCCTCGGTAACCGGCTCTACTACTGATCAGGTGGACAATCAGTTTGGACGATCCTTGTCTAATCTTCTGAAGATCTATATAGTCCATCTCAATATTCGCGCTAATCCAGTTCTCCGTATCCTCGCATTCATCCGAAGTACATCCATCCCTCGAAAACGAATTTTTTCAAACTTTTTCAAACGCATTTAAACACTTTTTAAAACGTTTCTATCCTAGATAGAAGTTCGACGTACTCGCGCAGCGGTCGGAATAGGTGCTAAAAACAGATGCGGCGGGAGAATTGGTCGCCGGAGCGTCGCGTCGGCCGCGCGGAACAATATAAATTACGCAATTCAATTAGAAGCAATCAATTCGGCGAGGTGTGCCGGTCATGTCCGAGAGGTCCGGGGTCGGAAGAAAGAGGAAGGCGGAAGGTGGAAGAAGAGAAAGGCAGCCGGTCGGCGCGGCCTGTACGGTCGGGGCAAGAACGATCGCGCGTTAACGAGATACAAATCCCATTACGGCGTAAACCTTCTCGATCCGTCGCCCCCTACGGACTTCCAAGCCCCAGGCACAGTGCTCGGCTACGGGCTATGGGCCACGAGCCACGGCAATTCGGATAAAGTCCCACCGACTCTCTCTCTCTCTCTCTCTCTCTCTCTCTCTCTCTCTCTTTCACTCTCTCACTCTCTGCTTCTATCTTTCTGTCTCTCTCCGTCTCTCTTGTCTTTTCCCTTCGCTACCCCCTATGGCTTCCTCTATCCTCCCGGCACCGATACTCTATGTCCTCTCTCTCTGTCTGTCTCTTTCAATCTCGCCCCGATAACCTGTCTCTTTCTGTCGCTGGTTTTATCCATCCGGCAACCTATCCCCAGCACCACCTCACCCCGCCCCCTGCCCCCCCTCAGGGGCGCCCCAACCTCCACGGACCGGAGCCAGGGAATATCTGTCCCCGGGACATCTGCGTGCTGATTGAATCTCCAATCTCCTCTCTCATTGAGCGAACGATTGGCCGCTCTTTCTCTCTCTCTCTCACTCTCTCTCTCTGCCTCTCCTTCCTCGCTCTCCGGACGCGTACAGATCGCCGGTCGCCACGTTTCAATCGTTTGTAGCCGCGGTCGGACGGCCGCGTCGCTGTCTTCGCTCCACGTATACCGTCGCGGAGGACCGTCGTGGTCGACGGGAAACCGAAAGTGCACGTCTGCCGCGGGTCTGGCAACGACTAAATTGCTGATTAGCAGTCTGCCGATCTTTGTAACGCGTGAAATTATTCCGCGGCGTTCCCGCATGTCTCGGAGAGAAATTTGAATTCCAGTGATTTTTCTGTTTCGTTGATTCGTCTGTTGTTCATCGTTCACGAAGGTCCGCTTATCGCAGTTCCAGCAAGACTGAACTGTACGAATTCTTGAATGTATTTCACCGTCCGCGAATGATAATTTCTGGATATTGTTATCCTGCAAAGATTTCGCAGTTACCTACGTGGAAAGAATAAACTCGTTTACTGCTTGTCTGAAGCGTTTCGGGCTCAAGTAGATTGAGTACTTCACTGATCAGACAGGGTGCACTTTTAAGCCAGCGTCGCATTGTTCCAGAATTTAACCTGCACAGATGCAACAGTCAGCAAACTTTGAGATGCATTTGAGCTGTCACATGTTCTTTTTTAAAACGACATTCCAACTTGGCTTTTTTAGCGCTCGCAGTATCGCCTACAATGCGTCTCCGATTTGATCCTGTGAACCGGCGACAGCGATATCGAAGCATTCGTCCAGGTTCCCGAAGCACCTAATCCGCGAATGCGCCGCAGCCGACGCACTTTTCCACCGCGTTGGGCCGCAAATGGTCCATTCCGCTCGGCTCGGCGCCGCACCCTCCCCCAGGCGCGGGGCGCGTGTTCCTCCGCGTCTCGTGAAACGGGGTGTGAAACAGCGGCCTTACTCCGGTTACCGCGCCGTTATAAGTAACCGGACACCCGCCGCGCAATTTTATCCGGTGGCGTAATCAATTTTCGTCACACAACACCGTATCGCTTTCCTTTCCCGATAATCCTCCTTGTCGAGACGTCCCCGCTGATCTCTGGTCTCGTTACTGCTTGCAGATGGCGACTCGCGGGGCGAGTTCGCCTGTGGCAGCGGCCAGGAGGACGAGGAGGGCACGCCGGACACGGGGATGGAGGACATGGACGAGGACCCCGAGGAGGAGGAGGAGGACGAGGACGTGGAGATGAGGGTGACGGATCCGGAGTCGTCGAGCGCGGACCGGGAGAACGGCGCGGCGGCGAGCAACGTGCAGTCGTCGAACTGCAAGAAGAGGCAGTCCTCGTCGTCCTCTTCGTCGTCCAGCAGCGTGCAGGCTCAAGGTTGCCAGAGCCAGAGCCAGAGCGGGCAGAATGGCAGCGGCGGCGGCGGCAGCACGGGCGGCAAACCCAGAAGAGCCAGGACCGCGTTCACTTACGAGCAGCTGGTCGCTCTGGAGAACAAGTTCAAGACCACCAGATACCTGTCGGTCTGCGAGCGGCTGAACCTGGCCCTGTCCCTCTCGCTGACGGAGACCCAGGTGAAAATCTGGTTCCAGAACCGGCGAACCAAGTGGAAGAAGCAGAACCCTGGTCTCGACGTGAACAGCCCCACGGTGCCGACCACGCCGCCACACCCCCCGCCTTACGCTCCCGCGTTCCTGTTCGCCACCCATCCCCATCAGCATCCTCTGCCGCACACGCATCCGCATCCCCATGCCCACGTCCATCATCCGCCGCCCGTGCCCCCGCCGCCACCTGGCTATTATCACCCGGCCGCGCCACCTTATCCTCCGACCGGGCCGACGTTCTTCGGTCACCACCTGTCCGCGACCCCCGTAACCGCCGCCGGACCACCGCCCACGTCCACCCCATCCTCCACAGGCCTGACACTGTCCACGCATCCACATCCGCACACGCACCCGCACGCGTAGCGATCTCGACGCTCGCGGACGTCGTCTTCGCCTTCGTAGTCCTCGAAGCGATACTCCGCCGCATTGGGAGAAGTATGGGACTCGTGATCAGCGTGGTTTGTCTGGGTCTCGATGGATGTCTGCGTGTGCGTGTGCGTGTGCGTGTGCGTGTGCTGGTGCACTTCTTGCCGATTCTTCGTTTCGGGATCGCTCGGCGGGGGTGGTCGGGAGGAATATTCTCTGAGAGATGCGTCGCCGACGGTCTGGGTCTGTGCCTGGGTCTGTGCCAGGCCCCAGTCCATGCCGATCAGCGAACGCAATCTAAAAAGACCCTTGACTTCCTGTGCGATTCGAAAATATTCGAGAATATTCCTCTCGGTGACTCGCATCATAAAGTTTAGGGCCTAAAACGATGCTAATTCACGTCGCGAATGCGTCGAATGTATTTATGTTTTTTTGTACTTCCGAGACGGTGTTTCCGTTTAGGGGACGACGATATTGTTTCTCTCGCTAGGGTTAAACGTGCAATGTTAAGTTTCGGTATGATCGGTATGGTAGATCGTACGGTGGAGCTGAATCACGGGAGGGGGGGTTGCTTCTGTTGATGCTCCGACCATGGAATCGGAGGCTGCGTTGACGCGTATGAAGACGACGAGGTCCGCAGAGTGTTCTACGGCGATCGTCCGATGGAGAACCGCTATTTATAAAGGAAGATCCTAGTGTCTATGAGACGAGGATCCTGCCTAAAAGGCGATCCTCTAATCTTTCGTGTCCCGAAGGTACACTTCCACCCTCTGTACAGTATAAACCAGCCGGAGCTCCATGGGAAACTTTCGTGGAGCACTCTGCCACCGTGCCTGACGATTGTAAATATTCATTGAAAGTATTCTTCGGCCTTCGGCCCCGTACAGCTCCACCGGAGACACGAGGCAGGAGAGAAAACCCACCCACCCCCGTTGAAAGTAATCGACTCGGGGGAGGGGCGTCGGTGTCGCGCGGACGGAGACACCGTTGTTCCGTTTCCACGGTGGAATCGTCAACGGAGCGAGTCGCACGGTTCGCACCAAAACCTGGAAATCTTCGCGAAATTCCGGGAACATTATTTTCATTGGCATCAGATCGACGACAACGTTTCTGCATTTCTTACGAGACGGTGTGGTTATCTTTTTTCTTTTTAATCTCATCTAGTGGGGTGTATTGTGAACTCGCTGTGGGGTGGTTTCACACGAGTTACTCGAAAAGATTGATGAAAACATATTTTACGCATATGCGATGAAAATGGGTGAAATACAAAGCTCCAAAGACATTAGAAGTTATCATTTTCCGCTTGTTAAAATTATGAGAAACTGAGAAATACATGCTTATTTAATTTCTATGTGCCAGAGCCAACTGAACAACTTCTTTTAGTAAATTTCAGCTTCTCGTGGTTTAATTTCTGTATCTTGTCGTCGACTTTTTATTTGGATCTAATTACGAGGGTAGAGAAATGTGAACTTGGAATTGTTACGATACTCGAACCGAACGGTCCCGAATACGGAACACCGAACGGTCTTCGCATTTAGCAGCTTTTTTTCGCAGATCAAAAAGAGGAATTTTCGACGGGTTTCTAGGGTTCGCTGGCAGCGTGCGCCCGACCGAGCATTATCGCGCGATGTACAAAAGAGTGTCGGCCGATTGTTCGGGCCGGGTCGGGCCGTCGATCGTCCCGCACGTGGGTCGCCTCGATAGGGTAATCGGTTTACGCGGGGTTGACGTGCAGAAAACGAGCGCGTCTCTTCGAGGATATTGTCGGGGCGTTTAAATTCCGTTCGCGAAGGGGGATGGCGTTGGAAAATAACGTGACGAGAGGGGAGGGATGGTTCGCGGGGGTGGTTCGACGGGATAGTATATATAGAAGGGGTGAAGCCGGGGAATCCATCGTCCCAGCGGAAAGATAAATACGCGGTGATACGTAAACGAAGAATAACAAGCGGTCGATTGCAGGGCCGCGCGTAAAACCCCGGAGCGGGCCGGATATAATTAAAAAATTAAACGGACGGAGTAACCGTGTATAAACCCGTCGGAGCACCGCGTTCGCCGTTATTTCGCGTTTCAATCCAATATCCGCGATGATGTTTGAACGAGCCGCAATGACGAGTAACGAAATGCGCGTGCAACGAAAAACAAAAAAAGAACGCCCGTTCGCGCGCGCGCGCGCGCGCTCTCGAGCGATCTCTCTCGCTCGTGTACCTTTCTATGCGTATGCGTGTGCGGCTGTGTGTATGCGTGTGCATGGGAGGGAGAGAAACGTCGAATCAACGTTGAAAGCACTGTACTTCCCTCCGAACGGATCGGGTAAACTTCGAACGTTTTCGCCGCCATTGTAACATATTCCGTTGGTCTCTGCGAAGAGAGGAATCGTTGTAAAACGAAGTAGATTTTATCGGGAAAACGCTCGTAGCTCTAAGGCGTGCGTGAAAATTAACGACTAAGTGTGACAGAGAGGAGGAGCGAGGCGGACAGGAGTTGGACAGCAGAGAGAGAGAGAGAGAGAGAGAGAGAGAGAGAGAGAAATAGTGAGAGCGAGAAACAGTGTGTATGTTCGTGCTAGACGATAGAGTGGATGAGCGCGAGAGGATTTAGCCAGCAATTTTTTGTGCTGAACGCAAAACTGAACCACGTCGGGACGCGATGAAACGTTCCTGTGTAAAATAAATACCGTACGTTACACTCGTAAGCCTTTGCCAGTAAATACACACTGATAATCCCTGAGCATACGCGCCGCCCGAGGAAAGATCGATCGTTTAGTTTGCAATATGGCGCCAATTATCCGAGGATACTGCCCTGTCGGCTCTGCTCGACCCGGACGTTTCCCTTGGCGACTGAATCTTATCGCCGCGAAGCAAATCCTCCCCGAAACTTCCTTCGAAGTCGACGGACTTTTCTGCTCGATTGATTTTCCATTTTTAACCGTTGGAAGTTACTAGAAAAGATCACCAGAGCTGCACGTTAATTTATATTTCACGCAACCGCTGCCAGATTGCAGAGGTTTGTGCGTTTATCGATCGCTAAAACTATTTTAGGAAAACTCGGCACGGTTCTAAGTTAAAACAGCTTCCAACTCCGATTGGTATTAATTATTGATGAAGCTTTTTGGATCAATTTTAGAATTACTTCTTCCAATTCAAATTATTTCGGGATTATTTCTTGCTAAGCTAGAACTTTTCTGGATATAGCAAACAGTTAATCCCCCTTGTGCTACGATCTTTAGTCGTAGCCGCGTTAGTTAGCGGCTCTTTATCGTTTAGAAAAATTCCTTCCCGAGAAAAAACAATTTGTGCTTATCATAACGTGTACTTTAATTTTACCAAATGTCGTCAAACGGAAAAATTTAGTTTTATTTCCGTTTTAAAGAATAACCTCCGTATTTCGTAGATTATATTTGGCATGCTCGTAACAAGTCTAGCTTTCAACAAAACATCGCAGCGTACCGAATCGAGCAGTTACGAGAAACCTCCGCGGATTCGCAGCCATATTGCAATCACCGCGAGACAAAGCAAAGTGTTTGGCTGCGACGCGAGGGATTATCAACCCCCAAAGACAAGACCCATTGAGTGGCCTCCAAAAAAAAAATCTCCCGTCCCGAGTTTCCCGTTGCCGAAGGAGCGCCCCATCGCCGGGGGAGCGGAATTAGGATTAGAAGCCTAATTGCGTTCGTGGTCCGTTTTTTCTTGATCAGTCCGCGGGGTCCGGGCGATTTTTCCGCGCGTCTGTCGCCGGTATCCGGGCCGTTTCTTCGCGGAAGAAGAAAGCGAGCCATTAGCCCGAAGAATATACCCCGCTTTGAGCTGGCGGTGCTCGCTCGGACACGCTCGGTCCGCGCGGAACAGCCTCCTGTTGTCGTCCCGAAAGAGCGGGCTCGCGTTCAATCGACGGAAAATCGCTCGCGCCTCGCTTTGATGCTGAAATTAGAAGCCAACGGACTCGCTGATCCCGTGAATTACCGCGAACAGAGGGCCAGCCTGTCCGAGCCAGTAACACCGTTCTCTCCTACAATTAACCGTAACCTTCCCGGGAACGAGAACGGTTTTGGCAGCGGCTGGGCCAAGTGAAAAATTGTGGGTTTTGAGCGGGATAGAGGAGGCGGCGGCCCGTGCAATCCCGCAGAATCGCATCGGCCCGCTGATGGATGACTTTTCGACAAGCGACGGGCAAAATATCGCTCGATGCGTTCCAGAAGAGCTGTCCCGTTGGATGTCGTCTGTCATCGTCAGCGGACGTCGGTCAACGTAATGAGCACGACGCTCCGGATGACGCGGTCGACGTGTCAGCCGCAGAACGGTTAAGCCCGCGTTATCATTTTGCCCGCCGAAAAATACCGCGATAATTGCTGCCGCGCCGGCCTCGCTTTTCTCTAATCTGCCCTCTGAAAAATCGTGCGGGTGATCACGATCGATGCGACGAAACTGCGAAGACGAACTGTTCGTCGGACATTAATCGTTCGGATCCTAAAAATCGTAATGATTTTGAAATTACGCGAAAATTTTCTGGGTATCGTTCGTGAACTGCAAAAAATATTTTTGGAGATGTCACTATTTCATCGAGAATATTTTCGTAAGAATGTCGCCATAAACGCGGAGAGATCCGCAGTCGAATATCGAAGTTCAATCCTTCGCTGTCACGCTCAATTAATCGTTAATGTCATTCTTCGCGTGACGATATCACGTTTTCGATAAAAAAGAAATGTGGGAGATCTTGGACCGAGTGTGACAGCGCAGAGTTAATTTGGAAGTTGAATCGCCACAGACTTGACAGAATTTTATAATTCTCGTGCTGTTTACATGACGCTGGAATTCGAGACGAAATGATTCTGAAGATCAGTCGAAAACTGATTTTTCGATTCGCGAAACTCGAATCCGACACTTCGCGAGGTCTCGAAACTCTCGAAACACGAAACTAAAATTATGGCAAATTCCTTTCTCGAAAAATGAAATCATTTACTCGTCTATAATTAGATCAAAATTAAATATCGTTATAATTCAATGTTTGTCTCAGTACAAACGATTGTAATTTGATTCGTAAAAATCGTACAAATTAAAACGTGTCTAAAGCCTAAACACAAACACGATTAGATTATTATTATTATCTAAATAAAAATAAATTCATATCGTCACGATAATCTCGTAAGTTGTTTACACAGATTATTATTCACCAGTGTATCGAGATTTTCGCACAACGAAAACAGCACGAAGTGTCGAATTTTCGAGAGGTTTCGTGGTTTCCAGGTTTCGAGTGTCCCATCTCTGATAGATACGCACGATTCTGCTGAATCCCGAGGACGGTACGGAGCAAGAGGTTCGCGAATCGCGGGTGGAAATCCGAAGCGTCCGTTAATTGACTGGGCCGGTCAGATAAGACGTTCGCGTAACATCGACGGGCCGTCCAGGCGGAGAAATTAGCCGGTCTTATCGGCCGTTCATCCGTAAACAATGAAAAACCGTGTCCCCGCTTTTAAGGACGCCCGGCCGCCGAATTCAGGCCTCTTTCCTTTATCTGTCGACCCTTCGGAACGGCAGCGTTATCAAGCCAGGAGTCAGGAGGAAGTTAAGATCGACGCGAACGGTAATGCGAAAGGAGAGACGAGAAGAAAGAAGGATCCCTGTAAAGGGTGGGGAACGGGGAGCAGGGGGACAGGGGGGTGGAAGATGATCCGAGTGGAAGCAGAAGAGGTGGCTGTCGCTCGGCCGCCGGACGATTCTCTCGAATTAATTCTTAGGGGTGGATTTGGAATGGGGCTGCCACCGCCGCCGCCTGTAAGGGGTGTGAGTGGAGCGAGTGGACCGTGAAATAACCAACCCCCGCGCGACACTCGCACAGCCCCACGCTTCGAGGAAACCTCCGGCAGTGGCGTAACCTCGCCGCGAACGCCTCCGCCGCGCCGCCCAAGATTCTTTCTCGAGGACGCTTAAGCCTCGACGGCGTGAACACCGGTACCTGTGCGCGAAACCCGCCGGTTGCCGGCGCGGCGGCGGAGGGGCGGCAGGGGCCCGCTAATTAACGATCTGTCTCGGGACTCTTAGTACCGGCCGGCCGGTGTCTCCTGACCGTGGCTCATTAGCGGCGCGAATTAACGATGACGTCGAGTGACGCAGCCGCCGGAAAAATCCGGAAAATCAATGCCGGCGTGCGACACGCGCGATCCCCGTCCGTTGTTCCCCGATACTGCACCGGCTGCCGGGGGTAAATTGCGATCGGGCAAATTGGGGGCTGAAACTGAGATACGTGCGTTTTGTCGGAATAGTTTTGCACCGGGAAAAGGCTCGCTGGCTGTTGCTGAGGAATCGACGTGGTCGGAAAGCTTGTCCGCCGGAGAATCGAGAGTTGAGGATCGTCTTTCGCGGTATGATAGAATTTTTGAGTTTCGTAGCGGTGTTGAGATTTGCTCGATGAGATCTTTTATTATTTGAACAGTTCAATCGTGACGCGAAATGTTGCCATTTCTTCGTGACGAGTGTACTCGCCGGAAACGGCTAACTGATTAAGCAGGATATACGGTTTCGTATCCTTTATTATAATATATGTTTTATAAAAGTCTTTTATTTATACGAAATATGAAGAAAATCAAAAATATACTAAAATATACAAAATATAATTACGGTGTAATTATGCTGTATCACAAGAATTTTGAATTTAAATCTAAAAGATAAATTTAATTTGTAGTTTACAATAATTAAATGAGTTTTTAAATTTGTAAAGATGATTAGGAATAAACATTATTGAATTTAATTGATTGAATAGAATCTATTGTAGACTAATAATATTTTGAAATATATATAAAAATGTCGAATTTAAATTTAAAATAAAAGTTTAATTTGTAGCTTACAATAGAGTAAATTTTTTAAATTTGTAATGATAATTAGGTGCGATCATATGAATTTAATTGACTAAATCAAAAATATACAGCATAATTGCAGTACACACTTTCGAAGAGATTGCAACAGCCAACTGGTTAAGGGTGAAAATGTTTGCTGAAACGCATCGACAAGTTTCCATTTAACGTTAACCATCAGCATCGACTTTTTAACGAGTAAAATGATTAAAGACTCGCCCAAGAGAAACGACCGTAAACCCAAAGCATACTATCGCACAGCCCTCAATACGCCCGTTTATCGAACGACATTGTTAAGTCCTCGAAGAAGCATAAATCGTCAAAAATGACATTTCAATGTATTCCAGCAAGAATGATCCGACTCGCAAAGGAGGCAGCACGTAAAACGAAGCAGACCCAAAGCCGACAAGACGCCTGTTTATCGAACGCGCGTCGCACCGCGTTTTCCGTTCGCAAGCCCCCGCAGTAATTAATGACGCCGTGGACGTTCACAAAACGGGAAAGCGAGGCCGACTCATCTAAATTCTGATTGTGGCCGCCCCCCCCCCGGTCGTAGTCACCTCGTCGTCTTGCCGGCACGATGCTCGCGGGTCTGTAAATTCCGGTGAAAATCAGCAATTAGCCGCCGTTCGGCCTTGTATTCCCTTTGTGTCCCGGGGTTTCTGGGTTCGTACTTCCGGTGCAGCGAACTCGGCAACCGAGCTCGAACAGCGAGAGAGAGAGACAGAGAGAGAGAAAGAGAGAGAGAGAGAGAGAGAGAGGAGAGCAGTCCTCTCGGCGTTGTGCCGCGCCGGATTACCAGTTTGAGGTCGCGGAGTCGCACGCACCGAAAGCAGCAAGGCACGCCA